CATCGTCATGCTCGCTTGTACGATCTCGACTCTCTTGTATAATCTCCTCCGACAGTTCCTTACTTGTCGCGCAGAATTCGCATTAACAAGAAATAAAGGGCGTTTCCGACAGTTCCTCCGCTTTTTTTCTTCATGGGTGAGTCAACTAGCACATACACTTTAGTTTTTCAAACCCGCTTCCTACAACTTCCATTCGCAAAATGTGCTTTTAATTCTGTCGTTTACCGCACCACCCTGTGACCACGCGTGTGTCTCCTCGAAGGTCTCGTGACTAAACACTTGGAAAACACTGGTAACGTTATCTTCATTTTCTAGCGTACAAGTCCCGTTGAAAAGCCTATCACTTCTGGCTGAAGAACTTTGGAGGGGATACTTCTTGGTTATCTATCTTTAGTTCGGGTTCCGATATGGCCGATCATCGCATTTAATGAAATCGTTTCTTATTCTTACTTTCTTGCTCGCTGTTATTTCGTAATGAACTTGTCTATATTATATTGCCGCGTTTACATCGTGGGGAAAAAGGGAGGGGGGCAGCAGAAAAGTTGGTCCGCTTGGGTAAGGTGCATCTTAAAGTTTCTTGACGGACTGACGGAATAAGAGCGCCTCGACTTTCTGTGGTCGCGGGCCTGTATCAGAAAAGGTCAAATCGCCGCGCACGGCATCTCTCAGGGCGCTTAGGGGCTCGCTTCGCGTTCATTTGATATACAGACGCCTTTTGCGAGGACGGTGGAGCATGTGCACTTTTGCAGCTACAATAGCAACAATACATGAGGAAAGCGCGACCCCCTCACGGCAAGGCCTCGCTTCCGCCCATTGGCCACCGCAACGCCCAACTTTCATTTTTAACTGCTGCCTGATGATGCGATTGTTCCGCTATTAGCTCGTTTGAATGGTGATAAAGAGATGATAAGGAGATAGAGCTGACACCAACGAGTGAGAACTTGTCCGACCACGCCCTTTCTTCACCTTGTGCAGGTACAAACGGGGTTCGGCATGGGGTTTTATAGGAGGTATTCCAGACCGCTTTTTCTGCGTCTTCTTCACTTTATGTCATTCGCCGTTTTTTCGTTAGTATTTTAGTACAACTGACCATTTTTGAACG